AAGAGTTGTATTTGTTTTGATCATTACACTCTTACTGGTGTCGATGATTTCAGCTCTTCTCTTTACAAACTCACAAAGGACAAGGAGTTTGTTAGTAGATGATTTTGCTTAACCAATRTTAATGACAGACCTGAAAGCAGAATGCCAGAAAATCTTGACGATCAAGTGATGTATAGTCCATCTGTGGAAGAAGGTTTCTGCAGCCTGATTGATTTTGAAATGAATGTTGTCAATTCTGATCTTGATGATGATGAAATGCCCAACTTTKATGCTGTCAAACCCACACATGACATATTGGATGCAAACACAATCACTACTACTCCATACCTGAAAACTATTACTACTGCTGTGGAAGGATCAGGTTAGATATTATTAACATTATTAGGTAAGTACATTAGGTATTCTGAGGTTTGGACATAGATAGAGGGAGTGTGTGTGGTTTGTTAATGAATAGCTAGAAGTGTAGACTAACATGAGCTAAACACTTACTTTATTTCACCATTTTGACCTGTGGACATTTGTATTGAATTTGTCTACAGATTATCAAGCCCAACAGTCATGTCCTTGCAAGTAGTCACACAGAATGAAGAACAGGAGGAGAGGATGGTGGTTGCTGGTGACACAAGATTACGCCAATTTGAGACAGTGTAACCACCAACCACTGCTTTCAGAACATCAACGTAATTTTTGGATTTCTAAAACACACACACACACACACACACACACACACACACACACACACACACACACACACACACACACAAACACACACACACACACACACACACACACATCTGACCGCAGAGCTATGGTAAACACAATGATGACACGTAAACAACCACCAGCACTAAGAACCACAGGTAAAAAAAACAGGTCAAGTGGTTTGGATACATAATGTAAAGAGGTAAATAACTAGATGATCTCTACTAACAGGCTGAAGAGCACAAGCACTGACAGATGTGCTGAGGAAAGAAATAAGGTTGGTGACACAAACGCCAATATAATTGCCAATCTCATCAGACAAAACAAAGAACTGAAAAGGTTGTTGATGGARRAAGAAACAGAGAAGATTCCAAGGGAGTTGAAGATAGTAAAAACAGGTCTCAGTTTAGYAGCAGGAACCACACAAGGTGCAGTAATGGTTGTGGTGGTCCCTGGTGAGAAAATATCAAAATTGAACAAGCAATTGCTGACCAGAAATTTTCAAGGGTACATTGAATGTTCTTTAAGGACATGAAATTTTTGATGAGTGAYAAGATCAACAAATATGTGTGTCAACAGGCTATCAAGGAAGGCTGTGTTAGCGGCTTTTAGGGGTTTGGTGGTGATGGCCATTTTTGTCTCTACTTAGAGAACACCCTGTTACTGCAAGTGCTCAACAAAATACGACACAACACTCAGAGTTATGCCAGAAAAAAATTGCTTGGTGCATACCACTAGAAGAATTGTCCTCTGATGAACCAGCTTCCCCAACCATGGTCTAATCATGGACATGTCTCTTTTCCTTTCTTGATCCATAACAGATGACAGTGAAAATGGAAATGTCCCAGACAGATTTCCAGAAACGGTTGGCATTTCCGGTTGGGGCATGAAGGATAAAGGAAAGAAGATTCTTGACCCACTCTACAGGGCATACAGTAATGTAGACAATCCAGAGTTTTATTATTTTGTTAGAAGAATCGTGGCATCCATTATCAGCAGGAATAACAAATTCAATGGAAATATGAAAGGGGCAGAGCATTTGCTCAGTAAGATTTTCAGTGTGGAGGACAAGGCATTTGTACTACTAATGCTTTACAATGATCTTCATGTGTGGGAATCCTCTCTCATGAGAAAAAGAGATTGATCGGTTAAGTTGGAGCAGAAGATATTCTGTGCTGCAAAAAGTGGTAGGAGAGATGGGTGGGCTTCAGAGGGAAAGTTACTGTACCACAAGTTGTGCACTGAGATTAAGGAACTTTGAAAGAACCCTCAAACAGGAGAGCTATTTGAGAAACAGATGAGAGAATGGTTCAGGGAGGAATGTAGAAAGAAGAATGGCAGAGTTGTGCTACCAACAGACTCAGAACCTAGGGTTGACGTTACCATGATGGACAACACTTATGTTTGCAAAAAGTTCAGAAACCTTACCAATGAGCCTGTAAAGTGTGCCCAAAACAATCTAATCATGGGAACAGTGGGGACTGTCATGGAAGCAGTTTAGTATTTCATGAAAGCCCTTGCAGAATTCATTCATCATATATAATAGTAACAAGGTTAGTCCTGTATTTTCTCATCTGTGAGGTAGAATGGGGCCCGCCATTCCATAAATTCAAAACCATATTGTAGCAGTTTCATTGTTCCACAATAATGATTCCACCAAGGTTATTTGAGAGTAATACTATTTACATGTATAAATCTTGAGTTTCAAGTCCAAGAGTCATGGTTGTAGGTTACTGTCATCATATCTGTTGATATCCCAACCCCCAGAGTAAAAATAATAAGCAGTGGTTGAGTGAGTATGGGTTTAAATATGGCAGAATAAATTTAGTGCACAGAGTGAAGTGCATTGTGTTGCAAAAATAATCACAAAGGGGGGTCCTCAGTACTAAGCTTAATAATCATAACTTCCCTATGTTAAGTGCTGACTGTAGGATATCAGATCATGGGTATGATTAAGATCTATGATACATACATATGAAACATATCTATGATTCATACACACTCTACATTCACAACTCATTTGATCCTATGGATCCACACAAGTGACTTGACTCATTCAATTTAACTACACAATTGGCTTGACTCATTCAATCCACAAACATCACTCAATCTTCATTCTGATTGATCTTAGATTTTATAATTTGTTGATCCTCAATAAGAGCATCAACTTTCTAAAACCTTGATACAAGACATGGACCTCTGTTAGTTTTGGCGCAAGACTGATTTAGACCCAAAAGGTGCTCTCCTACTCATTGATGCTACTCCAAYTAATATTTTCATATAGTTAACTTGACCATTATATTTAATACCTTACCATCAGGAATCAATAACAAGCTTGATATCTGTGACTTCTGAATACATCTCACGCAATAGAGCAGTGAGTGCAGTAGTGTTCATCTATCAATAACACATGCAAACAGTATAACACACTAAGACTTAGCAGATATGGATAACATGGTGTTGGGGCATGATAGGGTGTTTAGATTAGGTGAAAGAGAAGTGTGTGTAAAAKCGACTGCTGCTGGAAGCTTCCCTTGCATACTCAACACAGTTAGCAATAAGACACTAAGACTGTGTGTGTTGTCTTAAGGGGTCATTCAGAGACTTCTCCAGGTTCATTTGGTACTGGAATGAATAGCCTGTGACCAACAGTATGGGTACATACGTATGCTAAAACATACCACATACAAATCAGTATGAATTGTATGAGTCGTTTTCATATGAGTCGTATGATTCAATGGTACCATATGAAACATATTGTACAAGTGATTTTTACAGTCCCTATAAGATCTATTTGGTTTAGTCAAAAAACAAACCAATTGAATGTACAAGAATCAATTCTACATATGTACAATCAATCGTACRTATAATATGGATGCATGTACTACAAATCATATGATCAACCAATGATTTAATCAAATTAGTCAATCAATACAAAACTGAATCATTTGAGGTTTTCATTTGTACTCTTTATCAGAGGCCTGGCTGAGTATGGGGCAAGCCATTTTGGCTCAAACTGTATCAGCATTTTGCCTCAAACAGTGTAATATACCAGCATATTGTGTTTTTAGAATGAATACATGCATCTTCTACAATGTTCTTTGAAGAGTACACCACCATTCAGTCTAGTGAGCAAATCAGCAGTGTTTTCTGTCCCCAGAACCTTGGCAATCCTAACAGCACCAGCAGCAACACTTTCTCTGGTTTTGTGGTAAGCAATACTACTGTTGTGCTTTTTCTTGCATGGACTTTCTGGTCTGGTGACATTCTTTTCATTGTCACAATAAACATTGGTTGCACCTTCAATAGGTACCCTCATCATTTGAAGTTTATATCTTAATTCCTCAATCATCTCAATGGMAATTCTCATAGCAACAATCTCAGAACCAAATGTAGATGTTTCAACCATTGATTGCCTCTTAGAATACCACAGAATAGGAGCTCTGTTGAGAAAGATCAGGATCCCTGTGTGGGACGTCTGGTAGCTGTTCAACATGCATGATCTGCATCAACAAAACAATTCACCACCACAGGCTTCCCTAATGCTTCTGACATATCAGGAGGCAACACCAGTTCTTTAGCTTCAGGATAAAGCTTAGATGACCAATCACTGTTGGAGAAGTGTTTGTCGTTGATTTCAAGACAAGTGTCATCAAAAACCAACTTGGATTTTTTGTGTTGCTTCAAATAAGCAAATATTCTGAAAGGTTGATTCAGATGACCAGTCTGTGCTTGAGCTAAATACCATGATAGTAGTGATACAGGAGGGTGTATGATATCAAGACGCCCCAATTCACATAACCATCACAGAACACCAATCAAACCTTGGTAGTAGTTCTGTGTCTGCTTATCCAGCAGCTCATTTGTAGTAGGATCAATCTCAGGTCTGTAATCTGGAGATAAAGGAGTACTGATTTTCTTCTTGGGGAGATACATCTGTTCCCAATGCCTGTTCCACAGCTTGGATCACCTTCTCAGTTTATTTCTCAGCTGATATTGCCCATCGCTTGTTACTGAGTCCAGGAATTTGGTGACAACTGATATCAGCACCAAGGTATAGTGATGGTTCCTCAATGGTCCCATCCTTTAAAGTGAACTGTTTTTCAAGAATYGATTCCAACATCAATCGTGGTTTTAAACCACAGCAGAGAATGTCATCAACAGTATCCTCGTATAGCATGGGCCAAGCAAAAAAGACGACCCAGTTGTACATTAGCAATGCTATATATATATATATATATATATATATATATATATATATACACACACATGTATATCAATCAATACTTATTGTACGCCCTACTCCCCCACGGCATTCGAAAGCTCTTTTAATTCTCTTTTTAACCATGATGTGCTTACCATACTTACTAAGAAGCGTCCATTGGGGACAAAGACATACTAGCTGTTTGAGTGAGTTGAACCTCTCTTGATGTTCTACATGTTTTTCTACTGTGTGTGGATTTTGGGACATCTAATTACTGTGTAATGACTAGTGGGATTAAAAAATTCACTTTGTACTACCAGTACAGCTCCAATTACACGTGTTGAAGCAAAAATAAGACAGTGAGGAGCACGTGTGCGCAAAACTATTTGGTCACCCCCCAGACCCCCCGTCCTCTTTGAGAAGCTATTACAGTCAAAACTATTTTAGTCTTTTTAATGGTTCGACTTCCATGATTGTATTTCATCTTAAATCCTACTGTCAACACAGTACAGTACCGTAGAAGGTTGTACACTACGGTAGGCAAAATAATTTTTGGGATGCGAAAGACAATGGTTCCCGCGAGAATTTCCCCCCGCTTACTGTTATTTTGTTATTTTGTACCATTGCAGACAATCGCATCGGAAGACGCTTACGTCATCATTCGCAATCCGTATCCTTATCAAAATAAAATACAGTACATTAGTACCATAGTACCATATGTACTATCAGGACCGTACAACATTGATTTACAGTTAAAATCTGACGACATGAAAGAACCAATAAGAACAGAGCATGTCACGATGTCGTTTTACCGAAAACCGTAAACGTAAACCGTTGGGAAAGGGAACAATATCTGTCGTGCAAATTGGAACACTGAAACCGAAAAATTACAGTATTCTGTAGTCGGACTCGTACGAACCTCGAGCGCTCCTTGTGTCAAACACGAGTTTTTACTCATCGAAAAAGGAACAATGTTTTGACACTTTCAATTTGTTTCTTCGGGAGAATTATCAACAAGAACAAAGGAACTAGAAAAAGCTGGAATATTTGAGGAGCAAGATAGATTTCATTTCGGTAATTAAAGCAAAGGAGTGAAACGACCAGATACTTCCCTTTTCGCTTCATAACGCGGGTGTTCTTTTCATCAGATTGCGTTCGCAAGCCAAAACGATGACGAGGTTTTCCTCTTCGAGTAAAACGGTGTTTTTTTTTTCATCCAGTCACTCGTTGCGATCTGCGATGACGTTGATTGTGATGGTGATAATTTTGGATGCCACGTTGGGATTTCAGAACAATTTTGTTCGCATCCAGAATCCRTCGCTGGTTGGAAAATCAATCCCACTGATGACACCGGGTGGAAAACATAGTCTTATGAACACCGTTTTTTTCAATCTCCCCAGTGGTATGGAGGAAGATCCTCTGGAAGGAGATCGCAGACAAAGAGATCGTTTTACGTACGAGAAAAGATACGTTGCGCATAAAAAGAAGGACCCAGAACCGTCACCGCCAACAACCTCGAATCAACAACAGCCAGAAAAACCGCGCCTCGTGAGGCCAAGGAATGCAAACGAATCTACTAATGGGAATGAACGCAAGGCCACAACAACAACTGTGGGAGGTGTCAACATGGAATTGAAGGATCCTAAGGAGCGCGTTCTTGTGAGACATGCTACGGCCTCTTCGGCATATGCGGTAGATGCTTTCAAAGGTAAAAAGAAAAAAATTATTAAGCCATGGAGGTCTGGTAGGAAAAAGCATAAAAAATGGCAAAACAACACTGGCGGACTCGGGCGAGAGGCATACGGCGAAGAACTGAGAATTGAATTGAAAAACAAACCAAAGAGAAAACGTCTGGTTGTTGCTCAATCGGGCAATGCAGATGCCGCGAAGTCTTTGATTTCGGGAGGATCTCTTTCGGCTGAAGATGTCGCCGAGGAAAGACGCTATAGACTGAGAAAGGAACGTGACCCCAACGGTAAGATCATCTACGACAAGGACGACGATGAAGACGATTATGATGAATTCGGTAACTACATCGGCGACCTTGATGACGTCGTCGACGAAGGTAACGTTGGCGTTGCCGACGAACTAGAAGGCGAGAGATATGCTGACGACAACGAAGGCATACCGAATTTAGTTCGACAGAAAAAGTCTATGGTTAGGCAGCCGGAAGATGAAGGTACTGAGTCGCCAAATTTGGTGAGGCTCTCGACCTCAATGGTAAGACAGCCTAAGGATGACAAGGATGACGAACCAAACTTAGTTCGACTCTCATCATCTGTAGTCAGGAAATCCGACGATGAAAGCGAAAGCGGACGGAACCTCGTAAGGCTCGATTCTTCGATAGTGAAAGAACCAGAAGAAAAAGCTGAAGGAGAGCTCAGATTTTACTCTCGGACTGAAACTGTAGACGAAGAAAATGATGAAGGAAATCAGCGCCTCGTCAGAGCCGTTCCGGCATCCCCATCGTCTTCTCGTAATGGACCAAAATTGGTACGACCAAACTTCATGAAAGAGAGAGATACTGGACCAAAACTGACCAAACCGAACATTGTTAGAGCKAAAGCACGTGGTCCGAAACTGGTAAAACCTAACCTCTTCCGCGAAAAGGATGTAGGACCGAAGCTAGTTCGACCAAATATCCAGAAGAAAAAAGTGCCTGAACGAAAACTTGTGAGGCCGAAGATGCAACCTGATGTCTCCTCTAACGACGAAACGGGTTCGTCGACTGGAAAACATCGTTTGGTTTCACCATCATCTTCAACAGTTAGTAAAAATGATTCTCCAATTCAAGATTTCATGTACGGAGCAAACGCTGCTACTATAAACCCTACGAGTGYCCTTCTTAAGGTCAAGCCTAAGGAATCTACGACAAGTGTAATCCACACATCTACTCCTGTGAATAAGAGACCAAAACAAAACATTGAAGTCCCCAACTCCCCCAGTAATAATGATTTAGAAWATTTAATGTACGGCTCACAACAAGCGTCAATAAGTCCCACATCCGTCGGTCTTGACGACTTGACATCGGAACAAACCATTGGAACGCAGACTTCAACCAGGAACAGTTTCACAGGCGGCGATGTAATGTCGAAAAACAAAACAAGGAGATTTGCAGAGGCTCAAGCCATCTCGAGTAGTAGTACAGCGATAGAGGATCTCATGTATGGGCATCAACGGTCTAGCTCTTCGCCTACTGAAGTCATCCCAGAAATGAAGCCGACGGCGTTTGTCAGGGCGAAAACGATTATTTCCGCAGACGACGACGGTTCGTCGCAAAAGTCATCCTCTGACAAGTCAACTACGATATACCCTGATGGTGACAAACGGAAGGTTGCCGAAAAACCTCGTCTCGTCCGTGCGTCAAAACAAAAACGATACGTCAAACCTTCCACTTCGATCATGGACAGTGTACCAGACTGGGATGCTGCCAACCCCAATTCTATCACAACAAACCCCACATCTGTCAATGCTGCTAATTCTGCCATGAGCATCGAATCTAAGGTTGAAACCGAAGTTGTTGAACAAAATAACAAGAAATATGTCCGTCCTTCTTCTTCAGTTATGAGTGATGCACCAGATTGGGATGCCGCTCAGTCGGCGTTTGCAACCTCGAATCCTGTTGCTGTCAGTGTTGAATCTACCACATCACTTAAATACGGAAATGAATCGGATGCAAAAAAATTTCAACCTGAAGTCGAAGAAGCCGAAAGCATGAAAAATAAGAAGTACTTTCAGCCCTCTTTATCCTCTATGGATGATGCACCAGACTGGGACGCTTCGAAGTCTGATTTGACTATTTCCAACCCTTCTGTTGTGAATGTAGATGGATCTAATGTAGCAAATGAAGCGATTGACTCTTCCAAGGTTCAAAATCCCAAGCAAAAGAAGTATGTTCAGCCATCTGCCTCATTGATGGACAACGCCCCAGACTGGGATGCTGTCCAGCCTGCTTCTACATCTTCCAACCCCTCTGTCGTTAATGTTGACGGATCGCATGTAGCAGATGAAGTGGCAGATAATTCGAAGAGTCCAAATCTTAAGAAAAAGAAGTATGTTCAGCCATCTGCCTCATCGATGGACAATGCACCAGATTGGGATGCAGTCAAGCCAGCTTCGACATCTTCCAACCCCTCTGTTGTGAATGTAGATGTAACAAAATCGAAGGCAGAAACCAAGGATGAGTCCGCTATGGAAGATTCCGAGAAGAAAAAGAAGTATGTTCAACCTTCGGCTTCGTTAATGGAGAATGCACCAGACTGGGACGCTGTTAACAATGCTGCGACATCATTAAACCCGTCAGTTGTAAATGTAGATTTGACAAAATCAAAGGCAGAACCAAAGGATGAGTCCGCTATGCAAGAACCCAAGAAGAAAAAGAAGTATGTTCAACCTTCGGCTTCATTGATGGAGAATGCACCAGATTGGGACGCTGTTCATAATGCTGCGACATCATTTAACCCGTCAGTTGTGAATGTAGATATAACAGAAACCAAGCCAGAACCAAACGACGAGTCCATAGTGGAAGAACCCCAGAGGAAGAAGTATGTTCAACCTTCAGTTTCATTGATGGAAAATGCACCAGATTGGGATGCGGTTAAGCCATCCCTTTCAACTTCCAACCCTTCGGTCGTTAGTGTCGTCGTATCTTCGAGTCCAGATGCCAATTCGAAGACTAATGTTGGAAAGAATAAAGAGATAGATAATGTGACTGGACAACCTAAGAAACGACGGTACGTCAAGCCTTCTGTTTCCCTGATGGACAGTGCGCCTGACTGGAACGCTGTCCAGCCTTCCCTTTCAACATCCAATCCTTCTGTTGTCAATGTTGACGGAATTAATAGAATCAGCGGTGGAAAGCGTTTGGTTCGGTCTTCCGTCGTCAAACCGGATTCGGAAACTGATCAGAAGACCCGTGCTGCACCAGCCGACAAGCCGTTTGAGTACAAGCAAGTTCAGTCCATTCCGAAGGAAAATCCCGCGGGTGCGAAGCCTGTCCGAGATGAAGAAGCAAAAACTAAACTCCCTGCTTCTATTGCGCATGCTGCTGGAAGTACTTCTGAAGGTTGGACTCCTTCTGCTCACTTTCCAACTGATGACAAGACCAGTAGCCCTGGTGATCAGGACTCAAATACGAAAGAGAGCAGGACTAGGAGTGCGCAATCGAGCACGATGGAAAATTATGATCCGGATGCCTTGCCTAGACCAACAGGCGTCATTCCTCTCACAGTTTCTAGTAGCACACGAGAGAAGACTCAGTTGTTTCGCGAGGAATATTCATTAGAAGCGGTAGAAGAAGATGCAGAAAATGACGGAGAAGAAGAGGAAAACCCATCATCATCCTCACGCAGCGAACCGTCGTTGTCGGAACCAGGGAAGAAGAAACTGTTCTTGTACGATGGCGGGAATCCTCAGCCGAAAGAACTCTGGGAATTTAGCATCGATGGGTCTGACACGAGACTTGATCAACGTTCAGAACAAGAAATGAACACAACTAAGAAAAAGCTAGTCACCTACGATGGAAATTCAGGAAGCGAAGCTATCAGAAGCGCTGTTGTGGATAACAAGGACAAAAATATCAGTGGAAACGGAAATGGTCGAGAATCAGAGAATGGTTCTAAGTTGAAGGAAAAAACTGTTTCTCCCTTTACAAGGGAAGTGAGTGATAACGATCAAGCTGCTGGATCCTCTGCGACAAAACCAGTGAAAAGTTCAACAAACGATGGTATTTCTATTGATGCAGAGTCAGAAGATGTTGAGACGTGACAAGCATACTAGTGTTATAGTTAGGGATTTTTTTAGTCTCCATGGTCCAAGTGTTGATCATTTATTCATTATGGGTTACAGAAAGAGTTTCAGTTCAAAAGTTACAAGGGAGAGCAAAAGAAAACTTAATTTAATTTTGTCTTTTATTTCATATGTATGAACAAATTCTCTGATATGCTTCTTGCTATGATATTTTCATTGCCTTTCTTGAAACATGTATGAACTCCCAATATCGTCTTTGATGGTTTGTATCACACATACACTAACAAGATAAGAATCCGAATTCATTCTATGCTGGAAAAAACTTAGCTCATGTAAAGAGATATTTTTTCTCTCTACTGACTCTTACTGCTACTAGGAATAACATCTTAGAAAAACAAGAAGAAATAGGAGTACAGTTCTACTAGTAGCAGTATTAGTACTGACAAAAGGGGGAGTTGTCAACATAACGAATGCAACTCTGGTTGTCTGTCCCAGTGCCGTTATATTATTGCTTTAAACTTAATTGTCTGTATTTAGATTGGAATTTTAAAAAATATATTATGAAAAATTGAGTATAAGTYGTAGAGAGAACCGCTTCTTGRAGACGACTCGTTAGCTCAGTTGGTAGAGCTTCGGATTCCAGACCCGAAGGTCGGGAGTTCAAGTCTCTCACGGGTCAATTTTTTTCACGAATCGTGCWCTGTGCTGGATCTAAGCGCCTAATTTCTTGAGGTGTCGTGATTTTGTATTTCGCCTGTATCAGAAAATTTTTCGTTTTTAAAACTCATAATTTGAAGAGTATGAAGTTGTCGATAATCATTTACCTTTCATACTCTTAAAACATATTATACTATAGTGCCTTCGGCTATTAGTAGTCTCCTTCGACGCTATCCGCGTTAATGTTCATATCGAGCTCTTCTCCGGTGACTCGCTTGTATAAACTCAAGAGATCATCGCAGTCATTTTCGAAGTGAGATGTCGCATCAAAACTCTTGCTAATGAAGCAGTTGTCGACAGAACCATCCGACACCGGTTCGTATTGTTGGGAGACACTAGTAAATCTCTTGAGAATGCGTCCCAACAACTTAAGTCCCGGCTCCAAATCTTGATCAGGGTCATGTTTTTCACTAAAATAAAGAGGAGCGATTGAGTCAGTACGAAAGAAGAGTTATYATTTGATCATTAGTCTTGAGCGGGATTCTTCGATTGTAATGKGACGGAAGTGACTGAACGCAATTACAATTCCACTGGCGAAAATGCGTAAACTTCAATCAGCSGCAGAAAATTACTTACCTAATAGTGGAAACAATTGCCACGTACACGCCTSGTGACGTTACCTGCAAGGCGTGCCCCATGGAGCAAACAAAAACGTCGTTTACTCGTCCAACCTGGGGTCCAGGGATGACAATCTGGGCACTCTCACTATCGTTTGTATTAGGAATTGGCTGACTCAGCAAACAAATGCACCGGACAACTTGCGAGGTGGGTCTGATCTTGTCTTGACTAAAGTAGGACGGGTCACCAATGATCATGGGTGCCTTGGCCATCATTTTCTTCCCATCCTCGGAACTGATGATTCCAGTGGCTTTTCCGTTGTCGTCGAACATGATTTCATCAACGTCACGATTCAACATGAAGGTGCCACCGTGGATTGCGCAGATTCTGGAGAATCCTTCGGGGAGACCTCCCAAACCGTAGCACGGGTAGATGTAAGGTGACGTGCCGTATCTCATCAAGGAATACATGTAAGTTTGAAGTTCCTTGAGAGTTGACAGTGCAGGTTCATTCATGTGAGCTTCGTCGAGTTTCAAACACATGGCATGAGAAATGAACTGTGCCGTATCAGGTTGTAAACCAAAGTCCTTGTACAGTTCGCTCATGGTCATGGTGTTGAGATCACGTCCCTCCCATGTTGTGGAATCACCTTCTTTGTACTGATCAACATAAATAATAAATTGGCGGAAGCGACGCTTTTCAAACAAGGTCATGAGTGGGCTTGCAAGAACTTCTTGCACACCAGACGTGGGAATCTTGTGGATTTTTCCACCCTTGTAGACAAAGGATCCCGCGATACTCTTGAAGTCCAAATACCTGGTGACCTTGGTGTGCAAGAGCATCTTGGTAAGGTTTCCGCACGCCATGATAAACTTGGGAACGAGATCGACATTATAGTCTCGGTTTTCGCCAAGATTGGTGGGGGCTTGCCCGGCTCCAAATTTTTCAAACAAGTTTGTTAGATTCAAAGAGGCGCCGTCACCACCGTAATATCCATTGCGATCCACCTGCAAGACACGCTTTCCCTTCACGGAAAGAAGACCGGAAATGACGCATTCCTTCAACCCCGTTCCTAGCACAATAGCGTCGTATTCACCATCTGCCAAAGCTTCGGTTCCTTCCGGCAACCAATCGAATGTCTTTTGTGGTGTGCCGTGTCGCAAAGGAATTTAATTTTAAGCGAACGAAAGTGAAGCGATACGAAAACCAAACGATGTTTAATACATATCAGTTTCGATTTGTTGCAAGCGCATGCCGTTGATAAAGTCGCATGCCACTGTAGTACATGCCGTCATCAGCAGGAGTGATGCAGAATCACAAGACAAACCAACTTTACACGGTCATCCTCCTCCGAATTGTTCTGACGACAAAAACGAACGCCAACAGAACTCCACACATTCGCGCCGTAAAGGTCGAGCGTTCGCATAGGTTATAATTTGACAGGCACCATGACGTACCTTTGGTTCTTGCGCCATGGTTGATGTCTTCGAATAACTTCTTCAGAAATAAAATGATCAAAATACGGTAATGTATGATGGGATGACCACGGCTGGGATAGAGTGTGATACCGGTACGATCAAAAAATAGTACGAACCGTACTGTTTGATGACAAAATGGTCGACTAGAACAGTACGGTGCCAGGTACGACTACGTACCGTACTACGTTGCGGCGTACGAAATCATTTTTTTTTTGTGAAGAGCTATCGTAGGATTGCAGTTTCGTCATCCGTCGTGCACGAATTCTCCAATACACTAACCTGATGATTTTTTTGAATGCTTCCCTTCTCTGAAAAACTTACCAGAACAGTATCAAAAGCAGTTGGGTGCGCGCGGAAGCGTGCGTGACAAAAAATTCAAATTCTGCTACCGGCTAGACGTTCGGATGGATTTTCTGTACGGTAAGTTTAACAACGGTTCTGTCTGTAAGCTGTAGGGACCCTACCAGATTGTACACAAAATATTTGACACAACCTGCACTCACCCAACAAATCCACCTCAACATGACCATGGGAATTACAGTATCTCAACAACCAAAGCATTCTAAGACAAGCCAAGGGTACCTTTGAAAAGCTCTCACTCTTCTTAAAAAGGTTGCAAAATATCATTCTTATGGTGGAAGAACTCTTAATTTGTTAACTACTGATCTACCAAGAAATAGGGCGAAAAGGAGTAAGAAATTTTCTAATTCAGCAAACACAGCAAGAACACCAGAAAGGAAGCTTCCCTTGGAAATTCCAATTGGTCTACTGTAACAAGCATTATCTAATTCTAGAACTACATCTCAGCAGCAGCAGCAGCAGCAGCAGAACAACAACAACAACAACAACAACAACAACAACAACAACAACAACAACAACAACAACAACAACAACAACAACAACAGGGAGGAGGCAGTATGCTGCCCCTGTGCCCAGAAACGCATCGGGGGGGGGGACTGTGACGCCTCCACAAGACATGAACCAGCCAGGGCAATGGGGTACATACCATAAGATTCTACTGGAACTAATGGGTCATGTACATGGAAGAGAGGATGAAGGAGGAGACAATGATAATTGGTTTGGAATGATACTTTATTCACAGCAGAGCAGCTGAGTCTCCAAACACCAGATCATATCTACAAGTTCTTTGCAAAGAAAGTGTTTGGTAGAGCAGATCCTCTGGTATCAACAATACTAATCATACTGAAGGTTGGTCATCTACCCTTGTTTACTACAAGAAGGCATTGCAATTGTCAGCAATTTATTCCCAATTTGTTCTTCTCTGTCTACTATTGTCCACTGTCAATTCACTGGGATTTTCATAGATAGAGGAGAAGTAAGTGCAAAATAATGCTGGAGAGGAGGAAAAGGAGAATCCATTGTGTAGTAGTAGTAGTACTACTACTACTACTACTACTATGATGACTTCTGCTACTAGTACTAGAAGTAGTATCACACTCTTTAAGGATACAGTGCAACCTCTTCTAGTAAAAAGAAATGTCTCAGGAATAAATTGAGAATAGACATAAAGCTTTCTACTACCCTAGTACTTCCACTGTCAATTTATTTTTTATATTCCTCCATCCATTCTTGATCCAGTATTCTATTCTCAATCTACTACTTATTGCCAGTCACACCACAACAGTGAGATTGCCCTGCCACCTAACTATCCTCAACTTCCCCCCAGATTGAAATTTAAAACCTCAAAATCTAGTAGTGTTATTACTACTAGTAGTACTGCTACTAATAAAAATAATAACCTACCATATTAGAAGGAAGGGCAGCATAGTAATGGTGAAGTATTGCCACCAAAATTTTGAGTTCAGTATGAAGAGAACACAGGCAGACCAACAAAAGGATTTAAATGTTTCAATTTTTCAAAGACATCTGTGGCAAGTTTGTAGTGGAGACAAGTGGGAGTGAAAAGGGACAAGTGGTGGATGATGAAGCCAAATTTGAGAACTACCTCACTGACAAAATTTCAATAGTGGTGTTAATTGGTAGAGGAAAGCAACAACTAGTAGTTCAGCCTTTTGGCAGAGAATCAGAATGTTGGAGCAGTCAGAAATTCATTGACAGAACTTCTGGGGAGTGGGTCCTGCAACAAATTGCCATGCCCTTGGTGCATTGCAGTTATAAGGTAAAAAACAGGAGGTGTTACTACAATGGGAGAAGGCCAAGAGGCCACCAAAGAAATGGAGATGACAACATTGGCCATTTTGTAAAGGGAGGAGCTGCCTATTCAAGTAGATGAGTTGTTGCACACAATTACGTGTACTCTCAAGTGTGTATGAATAATGGAATTATAAGATTAAAGAATCATCGTGCAAACATGAGGTTCCTACTAATCCAGACTCGTGACATCTTTGTTCTTTGCAACGTCACCGTACCTCATATTCTTAGACCTCTCAGTACGATGGATCGTATGATGTATATATATGAACAGTACCTTATGACATGTAGGTAGGAATGGTATGTCCAACTATACCAATTCGGTATTGTATGTATCTGTACTTCTTTACTGTATATACGTATCCATTGCAGTTGTAGAAGATGCAACTTCAAACAATATGTTGCCGTCATGTAGTGTCGTTCCTTCAAGAAGGAAGGAAAAAGGAAGCATGTAAATGATAGTTATGCTAATTAATTCAGGCAGCTGGTGGAGTAAATCAATTCCCAAAATACTTTTGCCAAACATTCAGTATAGTGGCCCATTCATACCGTTACAGCTCTCTTTTGGTAATTAGTACTAATTCTAACAAGAAAGGTATGTTATGATCCTGCTGAGTGATTTCCATTAGCATTATACTTACTTTTATTGTATTACAAACATTCTGTGATCACATTTGTGTTCTTCTCCTCCTTGTCTTCACTATGGGTGAGGAAAGAAAAACAATAACATGGAAAAACACTTCATTACCACTACTACTTGATAGATAAGAAGTAATGAAGTGTTTTTTGGGGTTGAGATGTGACAAGGTTTTGGGTTATTTGTGGGTTGTTTACCGTGGATTAAACCAGGAACCCACACTTCTTTGAAACATGGATTATTTTATGAAAAAATGAAGTTTATTTTTAGATTGTGGATTATGTTTTATCAGAAAAATAAATATRTTAAAATTTTACATATTTGTTACGAATTACTCGTATCTTTACTCTTTCATTACATAATTGTCCGCTCCAACCATACAATAGAAAGCTGCTACAAACGAATTAAGATTATTCGGATGATTTTTGAGTTAAATTTCGATTCTCTCGATTCTCCAATGAAGAAAGCTTCGTCAATGTCGTTGGGAGAAAATGGCGGTGTTCGATAGCAAGATGGGGCCTTAGGCGTTCCTCTAGCATTTCGCGATTCCCATCGATGTCCAACCCCAGGTCAGACAAGCGCAATCGCAAATATTCGACCTTGTAGTAATTTTGCTCCCTGCTCTCGTGATTTAGAGTGGAACCATCGTATTTGAAGTAACGGATGGAATGGCACTCCTCTCTTGCATATAAAAACAATTCTTCCAAGAGAAAGTTAGATTCACGGATCATTCTCCAACCATCTTTTGCTAGCACAATGTCATCGATAGAGCTGCTCTTATTGCAAATTCGATCCATCGCTTTCTCTTTTAAAAATGCACACGACTTAGAATCTGCCCAGACGTACAGTTCAGGCGCAGTGAAGGAAAACAAAAATTCGTCGTAGAGTTTGAATTCGATTTCGTGTTTCAGCGGGACAATGCCAAACTGATCGGCAGCGACCAATAGTCTTTGGAGGAATCTCATAGCGCGGTAGATATGTTGGGAATTTTCTTCCCTTTCATTTGATTTAATATAGTCGTCATCGGATACTAAGGGCGATTCATACTGTTTGTCGTCCCAGTACAGATCAGACGAAAGTTCGTTTGAGTACAGAAATTCCAGTACGGCTCGAAAGATTTTCAGGTCTACTTTCAGTTCCGCCACCATGATGATAGATGACGGAGATGACCTCAGTAATGTCGATGAACTTCGATCATTATCTTTTCGTTGCACTTGAGTTCGCTGTTTCTTGGCGACTTGTTCTTGTGCTCCATGAATCAATAAGATGTCATGGAGAATGGTGGCTCGTTTAGATAACAATTCCATGTGACAAGGAAACTCTATTTGATCCACTACGAATTTAGCGTCCGGAGGAATTCGAAGGAAGTCGATGATGCCACTTTGGTCGTTGCGATGGTCTTGTTTTGTAGTTTCTATTAGCACGACACTTTCGTCGAATGACGGAGTCAAAGATTCTTCGCAGGAGGCTGTGCTCTTGCTTCCTCCCATGATACTGCTTACGGAGATGGGTTTCATTGTATCGAAGGATTTTATTTGTTGATTTTTCCCTCTTGTAGAAGTTTGTCGTTAAAAAATTATGAAAAGAGTTAGGTTTTGCGGCACTGCACATCATAATCTATTCGTATTTCTTTTACGGAGACCATGGTTTGAAATCGTGACAAAGAGAGATCGTCTATCGTCCATCGTGCGTAAGATTGAACGCATACGGTAGAGTAATTTGTTACACTTTTAATTTTTATGATTTAGGATCATGCCATGTGACTTGGGTTAAGTGATTTTGTTCAGGTATAAGTAAATGATGGTGAACCTTTGTTAAGAGCGATTGGGGATGTTTTCTTCTCGAAAGAAATATGGTCTCAATAAGCAGTTTGTGGATCTACATACTTAATCCGTTGAGAATATCCAGTCAAGAATTCCAAGATTTGTTGACAACGTGAGGGCTATGCTCTTTTAAGTAAGACCTTCTAAAACAAAATAATGAATCTCGGAAAATATGGCCTATATAATTTTGAATAAATCAAGTTTAATCAGTTAGCGGAGGTATAATAATTCCATATGTATATCATGGTATTCCTGATGTCCTCCTAGACATACTTAATGCAATGTCATGCATTCTGCTGAAATTGTTTAGGAATCGTCGCACTATTATTTATCAATCAAGCCTTTGCGAATTCAAGGGTCATAGGATTATGACCCCTTGGCGCATTCGCATCGCGCTCTTTTCTTCATTACCATAATTAAAAATGAGTTCTCTTCAACATTCGAGCCTTAAACGATTTGTCACGGAGACCTCTGAATCTCGATGTTGATGATGATCTCCTCAAATTGATACTGCTACTACAACTAGAAGAAACGACTGATTATGGCTACACCAACGAGAAAGATTATTCAGTAAGGATCCATTATATCTGGACTCACAATACTTAAAGCTCGAAGAGGCCGTAAGGTTGAACTGAAGCTAAATGCCTATACCGTTCGCCGTAACACCGAAGTCAAGAAGCTGTCCCGTCCCGTGGTGGAACTAAGAACATTCAGGCAGAACGATACTGCTACTGCGTCGTATTTGATTTGGCAACTGAGTGGATTGCGTGGTTTTTATCCTCTGAGATCAGGAACATTCGTACGGGGATTTCATATTGCGGATGGTAAATCGACGAATAAAAAGTGATGATGCTGGTGTGGCTCACCTGTGGTACTCGTACCCAAGTAAAGCGACTTCATGATGATATTGTTAGACGATAATCTCACAGCTATCACTTCACTGATTGATGAATATGTAGATAGAGGAGATGTATTGAATGTTGATACTAATGTTAGGTTTCTA